TTGTTGTGGACAGTGGACTGTCTTGGCTGAGAAGCTACCAATTTCATTTGAAAGTATATGTATATGTATTATATAAATATTTATAAGTAATTGTATATGATTCAACGTCCCCAGAATATAAAACAGCACAGGTTAAGTTTCCACCGCAGCATTGGGGCTTTAAAGTTGGGGCGAAGACGGTGTCAGAAAGCGACGCGCGAGTCAGACAAACACGAGTCAGAAAGCAGAAAGGCGCGAGTCAGAAAGCAGAAAGGCACGAGTCAGAAAGCAGAGGCGCGAGTCAGAAAGCAGAAAGGCGCGAGTCAGAAAACATGTGCCCGAGTCAGACAGCAACCTGAAAAAGCACATCTGGGGCAGCGTGCCCCTACGATTTCCCAAATGTGTTGCAGCAACCTCAAAAGGATAAATTTTGCTATTTTGCCGATTTATTTTGTTATATTACCGACTTTGCTGGGCGTTGTGCCTGTCAACGCCTGTCACATGACATCCTGTCGCCGAAAAAAGGGGGGCAGGGCGGCGCAACAATCATTAATAGGGCTTGCCAAGGACCCCCAAGGACAGGCAAGGACCCTTGTTTGTGGTCCTTGTTTGGGCCTTGGGCGGTCCTTGGCTGCAAGGACTCGTTTGCAAAGTCCTTGGCCCAACCCAATGCCAATCATTGTCCTCAAATCTTAGAAATGATAGGACCAGATATATCAGTGAAAGTTAAAGGAAGCTGCGGATTAACTTTGTTGACAGCTGAATGGCTTCGTGGGATGGATGCTGAAATAAGGTGGCAACCCCCTGAGCTAACTCCACCACTCTTGGCCTCATCCCTTCATACTCCCAATCCTCTGCTTGTCTCAAGGCGTGAGTCGTACCAGAAGCGCGTACCGGGATGCTGCCGTAGTTGATGGATCTTCGCGTACCAGCTGTTTGATTTTCACTGATTTCATGGCTCTCAGTGTTTTCAACAAACTTGTGGCCTCATTCAGCAAGGCCGTTGCCTGGTCCTGTTCCATGACGACCTTCTCCGTCTCCGCCTCCCCACTCCCAGGTGCCTTCGCTCCCCCGAGCAATGGAGCAAGATTCACCTCGCTTGCAACCGGACGCACTTCCCCAGTACTTGCAGGCTTGTTTGGATTTGGGTTGACCATCTCCACCTCCATGACCGCCTTCCCCAGCACCTTGATGGTGGTGGGCGTTGGCCCCCTCCCTCGGAGTTGTTGGCCTTTGTAGTGGTAGGCTGTGGCATGGTCAGTGCGAGATCTTCGGCTTCCGCTTGAAGGAATTCAGCAAACTCCTTTAAGGATTTTTCATTTGAAAGGGTAGTTCAAACTAAAGGGTAGTTGAGAATGGTTGTTATCCAATCAGGCTTGTGGAAAAGGTTCTGTGCGAGCCATGGGATTTTAAATCACATTGATAACTTATGGAATGTTCTGCGCGATCATGGGAAAAATCACAGTCGATCAATGTCAAGCATTGGAAAATAATAGTATGATAGTATGCACTGAGGACTGACTGATATTACGTAATAATTAGAGCAGTCATATTTTGAAACTGGGAGGGCGCAACAATAAAACGTCATGATACCTGTTTTTGAGACAAACGCAACAGACGAGATGGTTTTGGCATTGGGCAGTCGAGATACAGTTTTTCATCTGCTCAGAGTTCGCATGGGCCGCCGCCACATGCCGAAGCTCAAATCTCAAACCCAAAAGCAGACCGCACTGTTGGTGGCTGAAGTTTCGATCGGTTCATGCCGCCTTTTGCTCCAGTAGACGACTTGTCAGAGCAGTGTGCTTAGTTTTCTCTAGAATTTTCACAGGCTCCTCTGTTTGATTGTTTTTTT